TGTTATCTGTATTATCATTATCATTGATGTTGTCATTGTTATTTAAATATGTATAGCAAAATAATAAAATGATAAAATAAAATAAAAAAAAGAAAATAATTACCAATTTTTCTTCTTCTTCCCCTTTTTTTTGGAATCCAATCTCTATTGCAAGTCCGATTTTTAAGCTTGCATGCTTTGCATCTTTCATCATCAGTTTCCTCGCATTTCTTTTTGTTTTTCCTGCACTCAATGCATCCCTTTAGCGAGTATGGGCCTCTCTGCGACATTATTTATACGAGAATAAGAAATATATAATTTTTTTTAAAAAAAAGAAAACTTGTTGTGGAAAAACTTTCGTTGATATATATATATATATATATATATTAATCGTCTCACAAATCTTATTTTTATCCCAACATTACGGAAAAAAAAATCATAGCGGAATTTTTTTATTTAGATGATTACGTCTAATAAAAAAAAAAAAATAAATCCGTTCAATATTCGGAATTTTTATATATTAATATATTAAATTGTTATTATTATGTAGTTATACATAAATTATAGCTTTGTTGAGTGAGTGTTGTTTTATACCGGAATTTTTTGATCAGCACAATTATGACGACGATCTAATTATTTGGTCATTAATTATATTTGTTTATTTCTAAAATTAATTATAACTAATTATAAATTACTTTATCAAGTGACATCACCACAACTGGAGAAAATCTATAACCGTTATAGTTTTCTTTCTAAAATACCCAAAAATTTTATTCTCACTTTTGTACAGGGAATATAAAAAGTTACAATGGATGAGAAAGCATTGAATTGGCCCCAAAAGTTTTGGTGACTTATAAAAGATGTCCTTTATATGGCTAAAAAATACTCTAAAACTGACAGTTTTTTGAAGGTCATCAATGTATTTAATTTGTGTTACGACCCGTTAAGACCTTATTATTATCCGGTAATTAACCGGGATGTTAATGGGTTAACGTTAATGTTAATAAGTTTGGCGTAGTAATAACGGGTTATTATTATTTGTGTTACAATCCGTTGATCAAGTGAAATACTTTTTTCAGATGCTAGTAATTTATTAACATGCAAAAAAACATGGATGAAACCTGATTTTTTTAAAAAATTTATGTTCTTAAAAAGAAATAAATCACAACTTGAAATAATTCATCCTCCAAATTAAATAAATATATCTTCCAATAATTTCTGCTATTAACCTGTTATCAATCCGGATGAAAAAAATCCTTAATATTAATATTAACGGGTCCATAACGTTAATCCGTTAACAATCCGGGTCGCAATATAAATTTTCAATTTAGTATCTGGACAGATACTTTACATAATCTTGCTCTATTATAGAAAACTGTCAAATGCAAAGTAATCCTACATTTATTATTTCGAGTAAAACAATTCTATTCCTAAATTACTCACACATTGCTATTATATGATTATCCTTTGGATTTCTATTCATTGTTGTCTTGAAACATTTCATGCAGTCTAAGAACATTTATTTTTGGAAGAGTCACAACTAGATATTAATAGAGCCTGGAAACTTATATCATATGCTCTTAGCATGTACACTAGTTAAAGTTTATATTGAAATTTTCCTGATGTTAACATATGATATAATTTTAAAAAAGTTTATTATTTTAAAAAATGACCAGAAAGGAATTTGTTTACCCTTTTTAATTATTATTATGGAAAATTATGCAAATATTTTTTCTGGGCACTCATATTACCCAAAAAGCTTATGACTCATCATTACAGTTATGTGATCGACTGTGTTTGTAAAATCATACGATGTGGGACCCCAATCAAATATTATCCAAATTCTCATCGACGTCCAAATAATCAACAAATGTTACTACCGGTAATTCAGAAACGTGGTAGTTATAAATTTCACAAGTTGTGATAGGAAGTGCCTTTTTTACAATTATATGGCAGGTGAATTTGAATTCTCGGATTTTTATGAAAATAAAAAAGGATATGCGCATTGTAATAATTTATATGGATGGATATATTTACATTCTTTTTCAATATTTTGCTTGCTTTTCTCATCAATGTTCCCCCGCCTTTTGTTTCCATTTGGGAAAATCATAAATGCTCTTTTAACGCTTGACTTTTTTGGTATATACTAATACGAAAACGAATAATAAACTATTATTTATTGCGATGTGAAAATCAATATATAATACAAATAAATTAGCACTGAAAATCTAGGAACAGCAGACGTTTTCCAATAAAAAAGACAATTGCTAATGCCATCCCAACCCCTGTATAAGCAACTTCACTCCAACTACCAGAAATAATAGCAAGAATTATATGCGATTCTATAATATGAAATGTCAATAAAAGAAAAAAAATCACCTAAAAATAAGATGAGGGGCCCTACGTATATTGCCCATATTCAGTCAATGTTTTTTCAGTGCTAGCTGGTTTGAGAGACATCATAATCAAGCCAACTCAGCCAGAAGCAGATAGTCAAATTCCAATGAAAATACTAATGCCCCTATAGATATATAATGTTTAATTTCTGATTCTTTATCACATATTTGTTCATTTGCTTCATTTGCTTCAACTTCAAACACTGCATCATAATAAGGCTTGAGACCCCAAGGGGTAAGTGCAACAAGTACATCCATCCATTATCCATGACAACTTATACATGCATAGATAGTTGATTCTAACGTCATAGCAGTAATGATGATTTCCAAGGTTGAATTCTGTGATTTATAAGGTTTACCCCACAACCATGGTGAAAGTGGAGGACAATTTATTCCTGATAAAACGATACTACAATTTTCCAACAAACTATTCCAAAGATTCCATGTGAACAAGATGTTTGCTGCGTTATTTTGTTAGAAATATTAAAAAGGGACACAGTGTTTACTTGAGTATCTAAGAATCATGACAACGAAACTCCATTAAAAGGGTTATAGCTGACAAAACCTACCAGACATACTGCTCAAATATGTGCTTAGTCGCTTGTTAAATCCACAAACAACACAGAAAAGAGCTTTTCACAAATATGTGCATTTAAAAAATTAAATTTAACAACGGTTAAACATTTGTAAATGTACCGTTTTATTAAAAATCTGAATTAATATTGATAAACTCGGAATTTTTTATTTTTTATTTAATACTAATATAAAAATGGTAATTCGTACGACATTTCTAAATATAGTAGTTTGAATTGTAAAATTTTTCCTACGTGCATTTTTTTTCATACATATATAGTGCTGTTATTATTTCCGCTAATATTTTCTTTACCGATATCACGCTTATTATTCTAGTCAATAGTGTACGTATCCCATACATGTTGTTTTTGCTACAGGAACGAAGCCAATTGGAACCTGAAGGAAGAAAAATTTGATTTTAAACAAGTTCCATGATGAAGAACGGTCATTGAAAAATTGAAAATGTAAGATCTAAAAAGACTTGAAGATTCTTGGACAACATTAAATAACGATAATAATAAGAGTATAACTGTATCACTTCCCAGGAAAAAGAATCACGCTGGTGTCTTGATTACATGGATAATAATGGACGGATTTGTCAAATACCAGGCTGATGCTGATAGTAAATTTTGACCTGCACAAGACATAATACATTATAGAAACAAAAGACCAGAATGTTAAATGTTTTTCTTAAAAATAGGAAATAAAATTAACATTTGAAAGGAAAATGGATTTCGAACAAAAACAATTACTTGACAATCTAATTAAACAAATCTGTAAAGATTGTGACATTGATATTGATAAACGTCACATAGTCAATCATTCTATGAGAACGATTGACATAATACAATTAACAAATTTAGGTGTTTTTTTTAATGAAATTATGGCATATGGTGTACACTGTTCACTTGCTGGTTTAAGTTCTTATCAAATCATTCCTAAAAAAAACAAATACTTGGCAATGTTATCTATCATCTTTAATCCATTCAGGATCATCATGATCGCCAGAAAATCTGAATCTGGTATTAAAACAAACGTTGAATTATGTAATGAAGAGGATGATGATTGTGTACCATTAACAGGTAAAATTGTTTTTATTTTATAAAGCTTGAATAATTGTGATAATTTATAGTTAAACAAGTCTACTTTATAGAAATTTATAAAATTAATAGAACTCCTTTTAGAGAAGTTAATAAAAATGGTCATTCTAAGGTTATGAGGATTATAATTCTTTTGAAAAAGCCATTATTGAAATAATGAAATTACATCTGGTGAGTAAAACATTATTTTCTTGGCTATAAATTTCTTTTATAATTTTAAATAAAATATTTCTTCATGTATTCATCTACTGCAGTTAATAATTCTAATACTTCAGCACCAGAAGAATTTTTTTGCATGTATATAAAAACAAGTAAATTATTATATATTATAAATAATTTAATATAATAATAAATTTATTTAAACTTACTTGAAAATTTTTTCACAGATATTAATTTCTCATGTAATAGGATTGTTAGAAAAAGGATCATCTGAGTCTGATGGCAAGGATGGATCGAATTCGAATGCATAGTTGTTGTATCCAATGTAACTTTTATCTCCTTTGAAGAAATCATCTTTATCTATGAGATTTTCGAGTTGATGATTATCATCAGTATCATCTATATTATCGTTACCATTGTTGTTGTTAGTGTTATTTATATAAATATGCATAGAAAAATAGTAAAATGATAAAATAAATGAAAAAGAAAAAAGAAAAATAATTATTATTACTATTTCTTTTTATTTTTCTTCCCCTTTTTTGGGGGATCCAATTTTTATCGCAAGGTCTATCTTTAAGCTTGCACCTTTTGCATCTTTCGTCCCCACTATTAGGATCGTATTTGCATACTTTTCTATCTCCCCTGCATTCTAAACAACTTTTATGCAAATTAGGCATTTTTTATGAGAATGAAAAGAATACAACCTTTTTAAAAAAGAAATTCTCTTGTGTATTTATACTTTATTTTCTCATATCATATAGCGATTTTTTCGATTGGATAACGAAAACAATAAATAAAACTTTTTTGTTGAGTATACAAATTTGTTGATATTAAAATTTTTAAATAATAAATATTTATTCAAAACATGATATTCATTTATTAACGTCGATTAAAATGGTGTCCGTTTCAGGAATGATCATTGATTTTTATATAATTAAATAAATATTAAATATTAAGTATAATATTTAATATTTAATATTTAATATTAATTATTAAGCAGCTTAAAACGATGTTTTTTATAAACATTTTTTGGGATTAAAAAAACAAGGTGGATATTATTGAAAATGATTTTTTTCTTGTGCTGGCCAATTGTTGTCAAAATGATCATCTTTGGAAAGCAAATTTACTATTACTATTATTAATATTTATTATTATTATTATATTATTATTATAATTAACGGGTCCATAACGTTAATCCGTTAACAATCCGGGTCGCAATACTAAATTTTCAATTTAATATCTGGACGGATACTTTACATAATCTTGCTCTATTATAGAAAATTGCCAAATGTATTAATTTCGAGTGAAACAAAACAATTCTATTCCTAAATCACTCGCACATTACTATTACGTGGTTATCCTTTGGATTTCTATTCATTGTTGTCTTGAAACATTTCATGCGGTCTAAGAACATTTATTTTTGGAAGAGTCACAACTAGATATTAACAGAACATGGAAACTGATATTAGATGTTCTTAGCATGTATACTAGATAAAGTTTATATTGAAAATTTCCTGATGTTAACATAGGATTTTTATAATTTTAAAAAGTTTATTATTTTAAAAAATGACCAGAAAGGAATTTGTTTACCTTTTTTAACTATATATTATTATGGAAAATTATGCAAATATTTTTTTTAGGTACTCATATTACCCAAAAAGCTTATGACTCATCATTCTAGTTATATGATCGACTGCGTTTGTAAAATCATACGATGTAGGACACCCAATCAAATATTATCCAAACAATAATAACTTCTCATCAACGTCCAAATAATCAACGACCGTTATTACTGGTAATTCAGAAACGTGTAGTTATAAATTTCACAAGTTGTGATAGGAAGTGCCTTTTTTACAATTATATGGCAGGTGAATTTGAATTCTCGGATTTATGAAAATAAAAAAGGATATGCGCATTGTAATAATTTATATGGATGGATATATGTATATACTAATACGAAAAACGAATAATAAACTATTATTTGTAAAAGTCAATATATAATACAAATAAATTAACACTGAAAATCTAGGAACAGCAGACGTTTTCCAATAAAAAAGACAATCGCTGATGCAATTCCAGCCCATGTATAAGCAAGCTCACTCCAACTACTAGAAATCATAGCAAGAATTATATAATATGATATGTCAATAAAAGGAAAAAAATAAGAGGATGGGTAGTGATCACAATCATCATATTCATGAATATTCATTAAGGGGTTACACTTATCAAAATCAAGTGATTGACACATAATTTTAAGGGATTTTTGGATTTTTGATAAGTGTAACCCCCTTAATGAATATTCATGATTGTGATCACTAATGCATGTATAGGAATAAATGTAAAAGAAAAATTTTTAATATATTTATTTAGCAATTTTCAAAAATCATGTGACTGTAAAATTTTTATTGCATTTTTGATTGGAAATTTTTTCTCAAAATTGGCGGCATGGCACAGAAAGTTGTGGGACTAAGTGACTTGCACTATACTATAGTTAATTGATGATGCTAGAAAGTCATTGTTAATTACCAACGATTATTTTTTAAATATGACAATTTGTTTGGAATCCAAGGAAATAATTGGAGATTTTTGAAGTTATTTGGTATGATATTAAATACAAATAAGCCTAAATTTTATAAACTTACAAATTTTTATATCAAACACATCAACAGTATCAGTATCATTTTTCAACAATGATTACATGTCAAGATCATGTCATAATTCTTCACAATCTCATTATCAAAGTCACAATAATACTCAACATGATCATTATTAAATTGAAGAATTTGAAATTATTGAAGTGTTGAAGTACTTTTTGATAGTTTTAAAATTAATAAAAACAAAATGATTAACAGTAAAAAATATATAAAATAAAAATAATGATAAATTGATTAACAAATGAAAAATAGATTAATAAAGATAGATGATTAATGAATGCAATAAAAATCAATTAATCATCAATTATTTTCCTTTATTATTATAACAAATAATATTATTAGTAATTAATTAACCACAATTAATAAATTTCAATTAATGAAAATTTAACTCACCTTATCAGAAATCAAGATTGTTTGATAAACTGTTGTTACTTGAATAAATTTTTAAGTTTTTAAATTTAGCAATTTCATCATCTAACATTCTACTTGTGTAATATGCATTTGGATGTGATTTATGTGGTTGTTGTGAACTATCACTACCACTACCACCACCACTAATATTACTGTTATTATCATCATCATTATTAATTTCATTATGTTTATTTTCAGCAAATGGCCAAAGCTCACCAATGGTTGGTCTTTTTGATGGGTCTGCATCCCAACACCTCTGCATCAATTGTACATAATCATCAGGCATTTCAGGTAATATTGGTGGTCGTAAACCTTCACATATATCAAAAACTAAATGATGAT